TGTTGAAAAGCAAGAAACAATTGTGTTGTAGGCCAGGAATCACCTCTAACTGCAAACTGCATACATAGAAATCCACTGGTAGGAAGAATAACTTCCTTTAGAGTACTCAGAAAAATTGTTTCACTGACTTGGCTTTCACTTTCGTGAAACAACCAATAGTTTCCTTTCATAGAGGCAAAGCATAGATAGTATTGAACACCTGGGGTTACTTTTTCTGTAGTAAATTGAATTTTCCTTTCCAGAGGCAGCAGTTTGAATCTCTAGTTTGTCAGGTGTGTTGTCTAAAAAGGGCAAGTATAGATTTCAAGATGTCAGCAAGCCTTGCACAGAACTTAAACATTCATCGTGACCTTTACTGAGAGGGATTGGAAAGGACCAAAGGCTAAACTTCTTGTGTGCTCTTCCATCCTGTCTCAAAGCTGAGACACATTTGTCAGAGCAAGAGAGGATTACACAGCCTTCTCCATGATTTCTCTCTAGATCCAGCAACACACACCTTCTGCCATTTGTGCTTTGAGATAGAGTCCATTTTAAAATCTGCTCTGCGTGAAGTATCTGTCTATTTGTTTATTTTCCTGGAAGAGCAGCAACTAATTTTCATTTCTGTATTCAGAGCCACAGCCTGTCCTGACTGTTTCAAACCAGCAAAGAACAAACAGGTAGGATCTCATCGTTGTATTTCTTTCTGACAGTCAGAATTTCACAGCAGTAGCTACAGAGAAGAACTTATCTGGGCAATCAGTCAGTGTTTAATATCTGGTTTTCCTTTATCAAAAATCTCTCTGGTTTTCAATTGTCTGCAAATGAAGTTGTCCCCTTTAGTCACTTAACATCTCCTCTGCTTAGGAAAATTAAGAGCTTGGTGCTCTTCTTTAGGTCTTTTGTTTTCCAGGCTGTCTAAAGACCGTAATTCTAGGAATGTTCTCTGTAAATACCTCCCTTAAGATCTGGGAATTTGACTGTCATGCATTAAAAGTAGCATAAAAGATGATCCTCAAGCTCTCTGTGGGTGAAACAGTTCAGGTAAGTCACATTGTGAGGATGAGATTCCCCAGTCAAAAGAGAAGTGATCACAGTGCAGTTTCCATCTCCTCTGATCTGAGTGGAAGGCACAGCACACGGGGGATGGTTTTAACCTGTCTGCCTCTGGAGGAGGGGAGGGAAGAGAAGGGACCTTGTTGCAGACCCTGAGCACACACACAGTCGCTGATGGAAAGGAGGACATGTAAGAATGAAAAAAAGGCAGTTGGAGAGAAACTGATCCAAGTCTGGCAGTCGGTGTGATCAGAGGGAGAACAAGGACCTTCTAGCAGAAGCCTGTGCAAGGCCTTTTATTCCTTCTGGTGCAGAGTCTACTGACATTTGGCAGAGGCAGTCTGACCCCAAAATTCTGCCTACTCTACTCAACCCTACCCAACCAACGAATGCAAGTCTTTTTTTAGAAGGATTGCATGGTAATAACTCACTGCTTGCTGCATTGCTTTCCTTTAAAAGGGGGGAAATCCCTCCTAAGGAGCTAAACCAACAGGGCCTGGCTGTTAAAACCACACAGGCAACAAGCTGTCAGGGACTGTAAAGGGAAAATATTGACTCTGAACAGCCTCCAGAGGCTCATCCTTACAAAGAAGCTCTGCTTGAAGCTTCAAGTGCTGTGCTAATCAGAGAAGTAGTGTAAGATTTGGGTTTTCAGTAAGAATTTCTGTGTCTTCTGCTGTGGTAGTTATTTAAAACTGGGCTAGTTTGAGGGTTTTCCAGTTTGTCTGTCCTGTGAGAAAGGGAAGTGCTACTATCTCTGATTTATGCTTAGAAGGAGAAAGAACAGCTTTCCTTCAGACACCCAGGAACTCTGTGTTAGAGCAAAGACTTGAATTATCCCAAACAATGAACCAGTATTTTTCAGGGTTTCTTTTCCAATTCTTTTTTTCCTCCCATATTCCCAGTCCAGCACTTGACCACAGGCATAGCTGCTTCCTGCCATTGAGGTAAAAGCTGAGCCTTATGTGTACTGAACTCTGGAAAAAGGGGAAGGTGGTTTGGGTTTAGGTTCATGGATTTAGGATACTGGTTTTAATCAGTTTTGCCAGGTTGGACCTGAGCTCCCAAGCACTATGTTTTTTGCTCTTGCTTTTGCACACTTTGGTATATCATCTGAATGAACATAGTTCATCCAGAGCCATGCTTGGCATTTCTTTCAGCTAACCAAAGGGCAGGCTTAGCAATGGAGTATTCTGAGGAGCTGGAGATTTATTTGGAAGCATGGCAGAAACTTTAGACCTGCACTTGTTATTGTTTTTTTCCAGTGTAAAAGCAGAACAAGGAAATACACACTACTATTTGCATGTGCCTTCTAGAAACAAAGGGGCAAATCCTAGTTCTGAGGCTAAATAACTGTTAGGTTCCAATCTGTCAGCTGTATTAGCTGTATTGCTTTCATGTTGTGAATAAAGTTACTTGAATAGATTTTGGTAAATTTACCTGTTGCTCCTTGTTGCCCTATTAGAGTTAAGAGCAATGAGTTCTTGCTGATACAGAGTTGGTTTAGGTATAAGGAAACAAAAACACAAGTGGAAAAAAAAATCCATGGTGAGAAGTGTGTAGTGTGGATGTTTTAGGGTCTTTTTCTTCCTTAGGCATATCCTTTCTTAGCTTCTCTTAGTTCTTGACTCATCTTTTTATTTCACTGTGCAGTCTGTTTTCACTAGAATGGCAGTTATAAAAGCCCTAGAGAAGATAAAAGAAGAGGATTTTCTCAAGTAAGTATATACTGAAACTAGTTCTTAGTACTGTGCTTTTGTACAGAATTAGGATGGGGAGGAAAATATTAGGTGGGCGAATAGTGGTAAGATGTCTGTAAAAGAACTTGAATTGTTTAAATTCTGCTGGTTTACTGGTTAAAATGTGTTTTCTGCTCTTCTGGTAACACTGACAGTTGAGTTTATTTAAGGAGCAACCTTAAAATGCTCGAGTTAGGGCACAGAGGATGGAAAACTGGACGTGACACGAATGATGGTCTTTTTCCCATTAGTAAAATTGCTTCATGGGTTGATTACCTCAGGAACAGCACAGAGGAGGAACTGTGGGCCAGAGAGCTGCAGCTCTGCCCTGTGCTTTCAGCAGAACGTCTGGGCTGGCATGGGATTTAGAAGGGTTGGAAGTGAAAACAATTTGTTGTAGCATGGCAATCATTTACATTCAAAAATCTTCATGGACATCCCCAAAACCACAGGAGAGATTTAGAAATCATGGAACTTCCTTCTGTATTGGGAACATTTGAGTTTGTAAGGCAAGCTTCTCTTTTCAAGAAAGACTTTTTCCTGTATTTCCAAAACGTTAGGACTTGACTTTCAAGAAAACACAAAGTGCTGTAATATGGTAAAAACAACAAGCAGTGGGAAGACATCAACAGACACTTTCTCTGTAGTTCACTGTGCTTAATGGCACAAAGTCTTCACAGCTCTTTTCTTTGACTCCCAGCAAAGATGGGGTGCTAGATCCTGAAGGCAGTTTTCATGCAGTACTTGGTTTCATTATTGCTATAGCTATAGTGTGGTGCAGCTTATTAGCACACTTTGGAACTTTGGTAACTCTTGTTGACATATTGACAGAACTATTTGCCATGGACTGTTCTTGGTTTGCTTAATTTTATCCATTTCTTGGTGTTCCAGCTTTTAATGTGAATGCAGAGTTTGTACTGTAGCTGTGTTCTGACATTAATAGTAATTTTTAATCATTTTTTTCTACAGGCATTTTCCATGTCCCCCAAGTTCACCAGAGAACCTCTGCGTTGCTCTGGAAATTCAATGCAATAATGGTGCAGTTTTTGTGGCTGGTAAAGTGATCCATTTATTTGCTCCTATGTTGTCTTAAACATAACTTTATAATACTGTCATGACACCCAGAAGATTCTTGCTGTTTGTTAATTCTTCTCATTAAATATAGAGAGCAAAGAAACAAATCTATCCTGTGCTTACCATTATTTTTCTTTTGCTTTGAGAGGTGGAAGAGTTCTTCTAGAGACAGCACAGGGTGATGTGAGGATAAAAACAACTCTCTTTGTGCCCTTGCTCATTGAAGGAGCTTAACCAGAAGAAGTTTATGAAACAAAGAATTTTGCCCTGTTGTCAAAAGCTTGCTTTCTCCTTTGGAAAGCCTTTATCCCAAAAGCTGCAGTTGTAGTATGTCCCCTCATAATAAGTGAGGGTGATGGGAAAGGTACTTCCCCACTAAATAAACTCCTGGCAGTGCTGTTCATTTGCTTGGATTTTGATTTGGATTCAGAGGTTTTCACCATCTGGATTTATCTGCATGTTATTCTATCCCAAACTGCCAGTCTTAATGGGATTAATAAAAGTTAAATTTTGGAAAGCTTAGCTCTTTCCAGTTTCCCCCTCCAAACCAAGATAGCAGCTGAAATAATTGGGTGAGACAGGTAATGCAAGAACATTTGGTATTCCTGAATTGACATGACTCAACACTTTTATCACATGCCTGCAGGAATATCAGCCCTTCCCCCAGTCCTGTGTATAAAACAATCACTTATTTAAAGATATGCAAACAAGTTATTAAAAAAAAAATAAACCACAAACAAAAACTGTCAACAAACTTGCAATTTAAATCCAGTAAACTATGTTTAAAGGGACTGTAGAAGTCCTGAATAAAACAAAATGTAAAATGAAAAGAAAAAAATGCAAAAATGAATGTTCTTATGGCAGGCTAGTTGACGTTCAGTACATACCTCTTTCTTATTTTTAATTGCTGATTAGGCAGTTAAATGTACATTTTCATGATCCAAGATAGCCAGCGTAGCCTTTTCCAAACACTCTGTTTTATTTTGGGTTGCTTTGGTGGATGGTTTTACCAGGATTCACCTGTGTGGAGAGAGAGACAGAGGGTTAGGTTTAATATTGGGTTTGTGATTTATAGTTTATAGCTTGCTCCAATCAAAATAAACCCCCAAAAAATAACCCCAAGCAGGATGTTGTCTTTAATTTTTGAAGAATTAAATCCAGAACAGGGCTTATTGAGCATTTATTTTGCTATTACTACATGAGATGGGATCTTTTTGTAGGCACAGAGTTGGTATTGCCCTCCTGACTTTGTCTTTGGTGTTAAGTGATCACTTCCCCCCACAATGTTTTTTTAAGGGTTCAGGAGGAGCTGTCAAACCAAGAAACACCTTTTGGGTTTTTTTTTAACCCACTCTTGTTCAGATTAAAAGCTAAAATTATTAGAATGGGGAGCTGAGAGAGAGAGAAAAACCTATTATTTTCCTTTTTCCATTTTATGGAAAGAGAATATGGCAGTGTGAAGCTACTTCTGAAACATTAGTCATAGTACTTTCAGTATTTGCCCCAGTGAAACAGTATTACTCAGTTTCCCCATTTGTTTGTGTGGGTTTTTCTGCAGATCGAAATGCAAGGAGGAAACACAGTCAGAAATAGGAAAATATGATACTAAAAACCAGAAAAATGGAGATGCTAGGGGCACAGTATAACATCCACAGCTCCTTTTGAACTCTTTTTGTTTTCTATATGCAAGTTTTCAGATTGAAACTTGTTTGTGCAGGGGGGTTACATATTGTTCTTCATGAATGAGTTCCTTGTTTTGTGCATATTTTCACTTCTTATAAAAGCTGTCAGTCAGAAAGCTCCTCTGGGTGCTCAGACTGTAGCAGTCCTCAGGTCACAGGAGACCTAACACAAGACCATGGCTGCAGTCAGTCAGAGGATGGCAACCTTGGCATCATGTCAAGGTTCTTGAAATTCATACTAGTTTCTTACTGAGATGTTTTGCTCACATGGTTTTCCTTGTAACGAGCCAAAGCATTTCAGTTGGAGTTTCTTTTGTTAAACATTCAGACAATGGCCAAACTCAGGTTGCAACCTGAACTACTTGAGACAGGAGGGTGTGGGAATTTATGGGAGGCTACTTTAAGATCGTGCTCTGATGACAAAAAAAAATTTCATTCAGATTTAAGTTGACTCAAACAAGGCACTTGAACCTCTGGGTGTTACTCCCAGTTGTGCCAGGCTATATACAGTTAGGTTTTTGTGGTTATACCTGAAGGCACAACTGCAGCAACAGGCTCCCCAAGTCTACCTTGAGGCTGCCTGTCGTTGATCCTGACACTCTCCTAGGTGCAGCAGCAGCAGCAGCATGAGCTTCCTACTGTTGCTGAGATGCTCTTCTTGCCGTAAAACAAGTTGAAACCTGTCAATTTATTTTCACAAGGCTCCCACGAAAATTAGATGTGTTGTCCCATGCAGTAATGGAGCTTTCTTCATTGCTTTAGAATGCTTACAGGTAACAGAGTTGTTTTTTGCAGGAAGGTACAACAAATATTCAAGGAATTTACCTCAGACTCCCTGGATTATTGATGGGGAACGGAAGCTGGAATCTTCAGTGGAAGAACTGATTTCGGAGCATCTGATGGCAGAATTCAAAGCAGATAGTAAGTATCCAGGAAATCTTTTACCATACACATTTTTCATCGTTACTTGAGTAATTTTTTAGTAGCTACTCACTTATTTTAAGAGTCTACTGGAAAAAGACCTGTATTTCTTTCTCTCTTAGCTTTCCAAGTCAAAGCTTGTAAACTATTTTAGCTATGATCTGTGAGTAATTAGATGACCGCTTTCTTTTATGCAGTGTCTTTTATTCTGCTAAAATATCTCCTCAGTTGATCTGATGATGCAAATATTATGGTTGCATGTGGTAGTATTTTTGCCTAGCCATATTTCTTAATGGTTCATAATTCCTGAAGTGACTTGTGTTGAGAAGGTTTTTGCCATCAGCATTCCATGCCTGCCTAGCCTTCAATGCTTCGTGATAAGTTTCTTTTCTTCAGTGTATGAAGTTCCAGAGGCTAAAGTACTGGGTCCAGTTCTGGGCTCCCCAGTACAAGAAAGACGTGGACATACCATGATATGGCCAAAAAAATGAGACAGAATAAACACTGAGAAAAATCTTTATGTGCTGTGTATATACTCTATGTAGAAAAAAAATTTGAAACCATCATTTTTCTCAGAGACCTTTTGGAATAGAGCTGCAGAGTTTCCTCTAGTGCAGGGTTTGGTCCCATATTCCTCCTTCAGGCAGAGCTTAAAGATGGGAGGGGTATGTGGAAGGAAACTAAATACCCAATGGTATATTTCTGTAGCTTGAAGGATGAAAAATCCCAGATACACAGAGGTTACTTTTGAGTCTGGACTTGAATTTTCTTCCTATTTTGTCCAGATGTGTGTGACCAGCAGAAATTTCTCTTGGTATCTTTGGAAACCATCAGGTATATGTACAATTAAAAGTTGCATCTTGGAGGAAGACAGCTCTGGTTTGATTTTATTAATAAACTGGAATTATCTGGATAAGAAATTAATAGTAATTGGAATTCCTTTAGGATGCTACTGCCTTTTTTTTTTTTTTAATTATTTTTTTTTTGACATTTCCAGGGTTGTAGCAATCTTATTCAGGCCAAGGAACTAGGAGTCCTCTTCCACAAAGTTGTGATGTAATGAACAATAACTATCCCAGATTTGTTCAAATACAGCACAGGCTTCATTTTATAAAGATGCTCTTTGAAGTAGACTTGCAAACAAATTTGTTTTGAAAGAAAATATTTCACCTTTTAAAAGCCGTAGAGAGCAGTTTAAAGATAAAATCAAATCTCACCTGCCTTGTTTAAATCTGTTACAGGCTTTAATTTTTCTTCCTCTGGCAGAGAAGATGTGGATGTAAGAACACTGGGCAATGGTAAGGCTTGGAACATCCCTTGTGAAACACAGAAACAAACCAAATGGTTGACCAAAGCTGCCCTGATAGCTCTTGCTGAGTGCTAAGTGCATCACTGTGTGACCAGGCACGCTTTGGAATTTTATCTTGGAAGCACTTTTGGTGATACTGATGTATTTATTCCCCAAGACCAAACAGTTCCATCAACCCCCCGGAAAGTGGAGCCCTTTTTTGGCGTCCCTGGCTGTGCAGATGCATGGCAATGCACAGCTTGTTAGGAGTATTTTACTTTATTCACCTCCTATTTTTAGGCCATCTATGGCAGACTGATTCCTGTCTCGTTTTCTCTTGGGTCCTCTACTTTGCCTCACTATCACTGGCCAGTAGGGAAGCCTTATTTTCTCTTTGAACTTGAGTCCTTTATAAAGCTCAGTTGTTTTCCAATATGCTGAAGCTGCTCTAGCCAAAGGAGGAGGGGAAAGAGAAAGTAAAAATGAACAGTGATGTGTTTGAGCTGCTGTCTGATTTGTAGTGTAGTTCTTGGCATTGCTTGTACTGGGGATCATCCCTGGCCCTGAGCACAGAGTGCAGCTATTGCAACAGATGTTGAGCTGAGGGAGCGGGATTTAACATCGCCTTGCACCTGGGCATTGCTGTAGGTGACAGAAAATAAGCTAATTAACTTTTTTTCTTATTTTATTTTTTAATTAGCACAGACTTGTACAAGATGTCTTCTGGGAAGTCGTAATTTGCACTTATTGCTGATACTGGGGTTTAGTAGCCAAAAAAAAGTCCCTCGTTTCTTTCCTTCCATCTGATGCCACATCCCTAAACCCGCAAGTCCTCTCCCTGTTTGCAGAACAGCAGACAATCTTCACACCTTCCAACCCTACTGCATAAATTCCAACGTTAATTTAGAACAACATGTTTTTATGTTTTATGACCGTGCACGTTGCCAGGAAGGCCCTTTGCAATTGAGCTCGTGAATCCTCGTAGGATACATTTTACTGCTGAGGAAATGAAGGGACTTCAGCAGGTAAATCATTTGCACCTCGTGGAACTCGTCAGGCATGTGTTTGTGCTCTAACCACAGAGTTTTGCTAACTGATTCTTTTTTAAATATCACAGACAATTAATAAGTCTTCAGACAAAATACAGGTTCGAGATTTACAGCTTGTCACCAGGTCAGTATTTATCCTCGCTGGCAAGGGATTGCAAAGTGATGCTTTGGGAGTTTCACAAGCATTCTTGCTCACAGCCTTCTATAATTATGCTTATGTTATGTGAGTAATTAATTTCTTTTGTTTAGAGAGGCGATTGGTCGTATGAAGGAAGGTGAAGAGGAAAAGACAAAGACCTATAGTGCCTTAATATGGACAGACAAAGCAATACAGAAAGAAGATATTGCATTTCTAGATGATATCAAGGTATCTGTGGCACTTTTTGCTAATTTATAGGACCTGTCATGGTGTCCTAAGAAAAAGTTGATGTACTTACCCCTGTGCACATACTTCTGTGTTTGGTTTTGGGTTGGTTTTTTTTTCATCAGGGTTTCTCTTGCTGTAAAGACTTTCAGACCTTGCTTCCTTCTTCTCGCCCTTCCATACTTCACTGTTGTCATCTTAGCAATCCAGCTGGCTGGCTATGAGCCAAGAGAACAGATTACTGTAGAATGTTGGCCTTCTAGTAAACCAAGTAATAAAAAAGTAGTGAATGGGAGAGGAGGAAATCTGGCACCTGAACCTCTTTCTTTACCTTAGACAGTGTTTTGCCTAAGTGAGTGGAGATCTTTTCTTCTGCAAGCTCTAAAGCCATTTTTCCACACCTGCAGGGATGAGGAGTTTGAAATATCTCTGGAAAGCAATACAGAGGCCTCACTGTGAAGAGTGGCAACCAAAATGGCAAAAAGTGGTCAAAAAAATGGCAAAAAAAAAAAAAATAAAAAAGGCAAAGAGTGCTCAATGTAACAGGCACACTGTGTGTGATGGTTTGGAATTCCTGCATTAATGAGAACTTTCTCCAAATGTTCATCTGGGAGATACTCCTGATGGAGACATGTGTGCAGGTTTTGGTGTGTTGCACCATTTCCTAGGGGCCTTGGCTGTGAAATCATTCTCAAAGCAGCAGCCCAAGCCATTACAGTTCAGGGAGACTACTGGTGGGAAGCTTATTTTTTAGCTTGCCCACACTTCCTGCAAAGTTGCCTTTCAAACTGCTGCATCTCATTTGGGAAAGGGGGTGGGGAATGAACTTTTTATAAAGACTGTTGTGAGATCAAATCTCATTTCAGTTTTTTTTCCTCACTTTTCTTTCTAGGGGGTTGGCTGTAGTTTAGACAAAGCATTTTGTGGGTGGAATTATTTCTTTTTATTTGATTGCCCTGAGGCTCTCAGTGAGCTTTTAGGTCCTGGAGTCATTCCAGCAAAGGACTATGGAGATTTCAAGGTTATTCCTCTGTATTTGTGATTCCATTAGTTTGTGTTCATGTGAGGCCTTCTCGTTCAGCCTTTGAGCTGGCTGTCCTTTTTCCCTTTGATAAACATGGAAAAAATGAGTCTTGCCTCAGGAAGATTACTCAGCTAGCAAAATACAGTAGGAAAAAAGATGTGATTGGTTAACGATACATATGACTGACCCTCTGTGCAGCATGTTGCACGTTTCCTTCCTCATTTCTTTCATTCCCTCTGGTAACAGGAATTAAAGCTGGACCAGAAGACACCTCTGCGGGTTCTCCACAGGAGGCCCCTGGCCGTGAGGTGTCGGGTCATTCACACCATGAGGTCAGAGTACATCGACGAGCATCACTTCCGCCTGCACCTGAAGACCCAAGCAGGGACGTATCCTTCGGGGCCATGGCACCAGGCCTTTGTGAGGCAGCATGCTGATGACAGTACTGGGGGCAACGGGAGGTTCCCTGTTGGCATCTGGGCTGTTTCCAAATCCCTGCTCTTCAGCAGTCATCGTGTTTGCTTTTCTGCCAGAATTCACATTCAGGCTTTCATTAGACAATGCTGCCTACCTCTCTGTCTGTATTATCGTGATGACCACTCTGAAAGTTTGAAGTTATAGCTACCAAAATGCACTAGTTAAAGATACATTTAAGCCACTTTTTCTCCTTTAACTTAAAACTTTGCACCTTAGAAAAGCTTTTCTGTGCTGTTTAATCCACTGCAGTGCTGTACATTGCTGCTACTTCTGAGTTTTGTGATATGATCAAGTCATCCCTCACTCTGGAACGAAACAGAAAATACAAGTCAGCAGTGCAGCTCTTGGCATTGGAGTCAGAAGCCAAGAATTAGGAAGTCTTTTAAAGATGGCCATGGCCTTAACAGACGTTCACCACACACTGGCGTAGAACACAACACTACTTTTGCTTTGAGCATTTTTCACCATACTCTTATTTTCCCTTTTACTTTCTTTGTGGTAAAATAGACCTTTTCTTAGCCAATCTTTCTAGCTACATTAAAGAATTTGTGCATGGGGACTTTGGAAGAACAAAGCCCAATATTGGCTCCCTGCTGAGCAGAACTGCTGACATTCTGGAGCTGGATGTGGAAGTAAGTTCTTTGCTAGTTGTCTTTCCTGGAAAAAAAGTAACATAGCTGCATTTGTGAGATGGTTTCAGTGGAATTGCTCAAACTGAATCAACGTTTCCTTGACACCGTTAATAGAAAAATGGATGTTAATGCAAAAATAGTGGTTTGCACCCCACTGCCACGTGACAGGCTTCCTCTGCTGTATCCATGTCAGGGAGGGGTGGGAGGATGTACCATGAACTGACAACACTTATTATTAGCAATGTTACATGTACCACATCATTTCTTTTTGAAATGGGGTCGGATGACATATAGGAGAGATTTGACTTCCTCTTTCAGTGCTGGTTCAAACACAGCAAAAAATTGTCTCTGCTGGAGTCAAATGAAAAAAACATTTGTTGTGGTTAAAAGGATGTACATAGAGATATGGAATTAATATTTAACCTCATGGTTTGGCAAGGTTTCTGTAAAACATGGGGGTTTATTTCAGGCAGCCAGTGATCCGTGTGCTTGTTCTCGTGTCGTTCTGGAAAGCTGCCCACGGGTTAAGTTTTGCAGAAGAGCCTTGCAGGTTTTGGTGTCTTCTGTGGGATAATACAGAAGGAGAACTTGCTGAGGGCACTTCAGTTACCCCTGAAAACAGGGTCTTTTAGTCTAGTTTTCCTTGCTCAGGAGGCAGATTTGGGGGCAGGTGATGGTTTTCTGCTTGAGTCTTGCCTGCACTGCCCACTACCTGAATATCTCCATGGCATCAATTAACAGATTGTTTTCACATCTTAACAGCCCATGTACAGGGTGGGGAGAAGACAGAGATGGTTCATGTTTTTATTAACAGCTCTGGACTCTGTAAATGCAGCCCAGCATCAGATGATGCTCAGGAGTAGCAGTAGAGGAGTGTGTGATTGCAGCCCTCTCCAGACACATGCAGCCACTAGAATGAGGTGGATCTTTCATGCCACTGTCTCCCGTCTCTTATTTTGGTATTCTTTATTTACTGTTTCTTTCCACTCTTAGCCATTAGCTGAAAAACACAGAGTTGGAGACCAAGCCTCCTTACACACATAAAATACCAAGTCTGCTAATTTGTGCCTCTTTTTTTCTCCCCGCTTTTCTAGTCTGTTGATGTTGACTGGCCTCCAACCCTGGATAATTAACTTTTCACTTGGGATGAGGAAGAAGCAGCTCCTCTGTCAGCAGCTGTTTTCTGAACACTGTACAGTATTACAGCTAGGTTGCAAAATATTTTCTGTTGAACATTTGGATCATGTTGATCTGCCAAAGGATACTCTTAACTTTGAATCCACTTGAAACACTCTGGACCAGGTAGCATTCATTCAACCTCTAGCCTTCTTTTAATTTCTTCTGCCCATAAAAAAATTTTGGTAAGCTAGTGTATTGATAAAAAGTCTTTTTTTAAATATAAGTTAAATGGTCTAACATGCAGACTGTGTACTGAGCATCATATGTGCTGTCCACAGTAGTTTTAAAATGTTTTAATTAAAAATAACCCTCCCTCCAGCCAAATTTTTTTAAACTCTTTTTATATTGGGTGCTGCAGCTTTCTTGTCTTGATGGAGGTAGCCCTGAGTTACCTGAAACCCAGCCCTCACTTCTTCCAAGTGCTGTTCATGCAGGGAAGCTCCAAACCCAGTAGGACAGTGCCTGGAACAAGGCAGTGCTCTGCTCTCCACTGGCTGCTTTTTGGTCAGTATCAGTTGTAGAGATGGGCCAGTTTGTCTCCCAAAGTACTTCCAAAAGGCAAAAACAAGTTTTCAGAGGAAAACTTCGCACTTAAAACCAAGTTCCTCTCGTGTAAAAACATCAGTGATGCTTCCTAGAAACAGCAGTTGAGGTACTTGAGGCCTCAGCAGCTCTCTGGCCTGCTAACAGGTCTCTTCAGGCACAGGGTTTCCCCAGATGAGTCACCGTATATAAAAAGATTGGGAACTCCTGGCAGTGGAAATCTAGAGAAAAATAGGAATACCAAGAAACTGGAAGTGCAGGCAGATATAAAAGGTACCAAAGAATGTTGGTATTGAGAGACCAAGGCAGAGATAAAAAGCTTTGGTGTGTAGCATAGTGCCTTTTTTTTTTCTAGTACCTAGCCTTGGGTGGGTGCCTGGAAGAGCTGACCTTTGCCTAGGAACTTGCCTGCAATAGGGAAGACCTGAGGCTCTCTTTGTTTATTTTAAATGTTCCACACAAAGCACCACCTACATCTTTAGGAAAAGCCACTTCTATGCCTGTATCATGTTCAATGCATTAGGGGGATGCTTCTGCTTACCTGAAGTTAAACTATTGACAGGCAAATAAGGTTTAGCATTTAAGGGCTCTTCATGAAATGCAATTTCAAAAAACAAGAGAGTAGTATTTGCCAAGACTAAATGACTGTTTGGGGTCAGGGAGGATTATCAGGAGGTCTTACCTTCCTAAAAACTGAGCTTGAACAATCAGTCTAAATATTCTACACTCTGCCTGTGACAGGCTGTCAAAACTTGTCTCCTCCTTTGCTTTCCTAGTCCACAGTAACGTTAAGCGTGGCAGTAGTTCAGAAGCTCCTTTTTTTCTAACACAAAAATAATAGGAACAAGATTCAGACAGCAGACAGCAATATTTTTGTTTTTAATTGTAAAGCTTTTATGAGCAACAGATTCCAGGAGTGTTGTCTCAGATACTAATCTGTACCCAGAAAGGAAGTGTCGTGAAGGATGGAAAACTTAAACTGAATTCAGCAAACAAACAAAAGAGCATTTCAGTCTCTGTGTGATTTCTTGAAACTCCAAGTGAGCTAAAATGTGATTTATAAATTCCATAAACTGCAGAGGGGAAAATGAAAAGTAAACATGACTGCACTGCAGACATGAGAGACAGAAGAGCTGTTCCAAGGAGGAAATGGAGCTCTCAGCTCCTGCCCCTGCCTTGGTGCAAGGACCTCAAGGTGCTCTCAGCTCCTGCAGCTCTTTCTGCACTGTGCTGCCCATGATCGTGGCGACAGTGACCATCAGGTTCAGAATCAAAATGCAGCAAAACAAGGCTATAAAGATTACACTAAATGTGCTAAGTCTGATCTTTTCCCCATACAATGTAGAGAGTCCCACCAAAACTTCCCAAACTGCTTATTTTTTTATCATGATAAACCCCAATGGAGATGGGGGAAGCTGCTGATGGAAACATTTCTACAACTCTCTGTATAGTTATTGTTCAGTGACCATGTGAAATTATGAAAATGAGAGATGGAACCTGGTTTTCTGAACTTTGTTTCAAGTCTGCAGTTTCTGATACAAGGTAAACACTCAGAACTATCAGAATCCTTTACTGCACACGTTGCTTTAGGTTTTGTAGTGACCAACATAAACTGTGCCAGAAAATACTCCGGAAAGCCCCAGGATAAGGAACCTACCTTCTTCCATTCCTCTGGCTTTCCTGCAGGGAGGGATGTCATGAATCTGAGAAGGCTGCAGAAGCAGAGTGCTTAGAACCAGTTTTTTTTTAATTACCAAACCAAATAGTTTACAAAGGAACACAGAATTTTGAAAATATTTAATTATAAAGTAAAAACAAATTGTACTATGAAAAGCTTTCTATGAAGTGAGTAAAATGTTTACATTGAATATACTTAAAACTGAGAACTTCAAAAAAAAAAAATCCTGAATAAACAACACTTTTGAAACTTTGTTTGTATTTCTTTGGTCTTTCTACTACTTATGACTGCAGAGGAGCAATGCAGAAGTGAGGAAAAACTGCCTTCAGACATGGAGGGTCAATTCATTGTGCTGTGTATGTGGAGTTAGGGGAAGCAGTTTTCCAAATTTCCTCTATTCTGCAGATTGTCCAAGGAGAATATCCTGTCAAACCTGGGTAACTGGTGTGATGCCTTCCAGCAGCAGCACCGTGCTGCTTTGAACACCATGAGTTAGTTACTGCAGTGAAGGAGTCACTGTATGGCTGTGACCCCCAGAGGTGCTCTACTTTTGGAGCTCCTTTCTGCCTTGCACACAACTATACATCTCAAGTGGTTTTTATGATCTGGGGCTGTGTTTTTGGGTATTTATCTATCCGAGCGTGATTTTTCAATTGTGCCTTTCTATGGTGCAGTTTTATGTTGCCAAACAGTAGCAATTAAGATTCTTAAGCCTTATCCGCCATATAAACCAGCTGTATAACTTAAGAAATACTCATATATTTCTTACTGTGTTGCTTCTTAAAAAATAATAATAATAAAATAGCAAAGCCCTATAATGCAGAGGAGAGTCTCTTACCTAGCCAGTTAAATCCACGTGAGCTGTCACGAGGATCTCACAACTCAGGCTAAGGAGGAAGACTGGGAATGAAGTGGAAGGGAGAAAGTTCTGCTTTCTGACACAGAGTATAGAGGAGTGTCTTTAATTAGCACTGACTGAAATGGCCTGAAGTTGTTAACAGAGTGCACCGAGCCCAGGCTGTACTAAAGCTGCCTCTGGCTTGGCCCCAAAGCTTTCTTGTGAGGGGGTGGTGGGGAGGCAGGGTCTGAGCCTTACTTTAAGCAGTCACTTGCATAGCAGGAAACTGCCTGGATACCTGAGGAAAGAATAGGTAGGTGCTTGGGCTCAACATATTTCTGAGTTCAAAACAACACACACATCACAGCTACACACACAGGAAAAAACTTCCAGAGAAATAACACCGTGCTCCATTCCTAAAGCAACAAGGGTTTGTCCTTTAAAACAGTGCACTTGGGATGAAGTGCAGAGAAGTCCTTACTTTCTGTTTGTAGTTTTGTGCAGTGATTCATTTACAACAGAGTTGGACTATTTAAAAATTCAAACCTTCCGGTCTTTTAAAATACATCTAACAATGACATAGTCATTAAAAAAATTTTTAGAGTAAATTTGCCTTCAAAGCAAATGGAGTGTGGTGAAAAATATGAGAAATCAACACGTGATCTTGTTTTAGGAGAGGAATATTTTATATGGAAGAGGGTAAGACACTTAAACCTTTCAGGTAAGTCGAGTACAAGTTTAACCTTGTTAGGAGAGCCTGGACTAGAGTGCCCACGTGCAGGTTTTCTTCCTAATTTCTGTCCTATCAGGATTTAACTTACCATAGCAAAAAAAAGGGTTATTCTTCAAACAATTTAAACCCTGTGAATTATTTGGCATTTTAACCCTTCTGAAGCTGCCAGCTTTTACAGTCCCCAGTGGTAAGGGGTATGTATTAACAGCTCCCTTTTCCAACAGTGTAAAATTATGCATAGAAGGTTCTTTGAAGGTGCAGAACCCCAAACCCTACTCCCATCGCTCTTCTGTAGGGGCACCCATCTTTGGGCTGGAATATGTAACCTGAAGTTGTATCATGAAACTTGCCTAGTAACTTTCTGAAAGAGAAAACAGGGACTCCAGAAGGGCAAGGGACTCCTCTTCACAACAGCTAGCCACCAGAAAAGCTCTACGTACCCGCTTCCAGCCCGACTGCTGGCTCAATGGTTATAGCTTTGTAAAATGGCATCGAGGTGTAAGGACAGCTCGTCAGTGCGGGCACTGTCGGCGTCATAGTACTGGTTATCAGCAAGGCTAGTCTGGTGGTTGGTGGATAGTCTTGACTGGCTTAAAACTTCTTGGTCTATAAACCCATAAACTGCTGGGTCGGCCAAGTTAGGCTGCGAATTAAAAGGCGTGCTGCCCGGGGCTGCTACGGAGGGGCAAGGCGGGGGCCCCTGATGGAGCTGCTGCCTGTGGCTGCCGGCGCTCACCAGCGGGTTGTACTTCTCAAAGTTGATGCTGGTGCAGTTCACGTCGTCGGTGTCCATGCCCACGATGCCGCCGGCGGGGTGGGCCTGGTGAGCGACGCCGTTGCTGGGCAGGCCCTGCAGCTCCCCGCTCGACACCGCCACCGCTCCCAGCCCCTCCGTGCCCCCGAAGCTCCGGTAGAAACCCGAGTCCTTCTCCTCGGGCCAGTTCATAGGGGTGTCGGGATAGCCGGCGGCCTGAGGGGCGTCTGCCGCCAAGCTGTTCTGCAGGTGCGTGCTG